TTGTGAATAGGCTATGAACTTTGATGTGGTTGATTCACAACCTTTCATGACAGCAGGCTTTCCGCCAATGACCATGTCCCAACGGTTTGTGTCAACTATGATAATAGTCTCTTGTCAAAAACACAAGCCCTTGTTTTGGTAAATAAAGATGTGTATTTTTTGAAAATTCACAAGCTTAAACGAAAAGTCCATTTTCAAAAAGTATTATCCTCAAGAGAAACAGGGACTTGATAGAGCTCCAAGTTGTCTAGTTGTCTTAGGATTATATCTTTCATTCTACATTGTACATCTATTCCTAGTCTATTAATGAATTAGATCGTTGTTTAGTTTGTCTAAAAGTTTAAGTCAATTAAGGTAAATTGATTTAGCGGGCAACATTACTGCTGCTTAATCAAATTCAAAGTCATCTCGTGGTAGTTGATTTAGTGGGAAAAGTGGTTGTTGCTTAATAAAAATACTAAGTCATATAGGTGGAATGGTTTAGTGTGCAACACAGTCATCTAGGTGGAATGGTTTAGTGCGCAACACAGTTGTTTTTTAATAAAATTCTAAGTTATATAGAGGTGGGTAGGCTGGTGGGTAGGTCAGTGGGCAATATGTCATTTCTTAGTTAATTTCTTTATAGTAGATGTGCTACATTGAGGGGGAAGAGATTTAGAGGTAAATTTCTAGGTTGAAAGCATTGTAATTTGAATGAGTTCTCGGTTTGAGTTATATGAGGTTGTGTTAAAAATCATGTGAGAACAGGTCGTGGTTTTAACCTCCCTATAGCAATAGTGTTTCCATGTAAAATCATTGTGTAGATTTTACTTCCAACTATATACTTTCTGCATTTATTTCAATTGATGTTCTTTTTGATTCAGGGGACCTGTTCCATTGATGTCAGTGGGCCGTACTACTATGTGTGATTATATTACAATTCTTACCCTATAAAAGCACATGGTCCATTGACTATGAGTTGATGCACACATCCTAATATCCCACAAGAGGATCAGGGGAGGATAGGATTCACTCTTACCTTTTAGGGGTACAGACATTTCTTGTGACAGACCATCGACTCAAAAGAAGTAAGATAAAAGCATAATTGAAAGGAAAATAAAGAGAATACTAGTGAAAATTGAAGAATAAGATACTACTAACTACAAACTAAACTGAATCATCAACATAATTATAGGGTTGCGCTACCATTGAAGAGGTGGAAGAAGTTTTTTTAGGGTTACCCCAATACTAAAATTGCTTATTCTTCCCAACAAGTGTGATTCTTCTTTTTCACAAGAGGGTTTTTGTTAGAAACATGAGGAAAATGAAATGAAAGGTGTAAATCAAGTCTTGCTTTTGTTTTTGGTGACACTTTGACCAAAAAGTGGTCCACTTTAAAATGTAATAAAGTAAATCTAGAACCAAATTAACATTTTCAAAACTTTCTTATTTTTTATTATATAAAATAAAAAAAACAGTTTAGTTTTAAAATTGTATAATTCCATCCTAACCATAATACAAAAGTAAAAGAAAATAGAATTTTCTCTTTTTCTTTATCTCCCAACTCCCTCTCTTCTTCATCCTTCGAAAATTCGACCATCAACAAATATATTCCCATTATCTTCCTTATCATCTCAAACGGTCCGTCTCTCTTTATTAGTTGAAGATCATTTTCACTTGAAAATGGGTAGGTCTTTTTTTGAAATATTTACAATTTTGTAACAATACATTCTTGATCATAAGTTTTTTTCTTGGGTTAATGAACAATAAATCGTTCTGTCAATGTGAAAATTTATTATTGATGTATTATAGCTATTATTTACTCCCTCCTTTTTAAAATGAATGACCCTATTTCCTTTAAGAATGACACCTTTCCTTTTTTGGTAACACCTTAATTTTAACTTTTCACGTGACATTTTTAAGACCATAAAATAAAAGAGTATTTTGGTACATTTGACATACCTTGTATTTATAACCACAAGAATAAAAAGTCTTCTTTCTTTTCTTAAACTCCGTTGCAAGTCAAACGAGTTCATTTTTTTGAAACGGAGGGAGTTCTGTTTTTCAAAAAAAATTAACAAACCCAAAAAACCCTGATTTTAAGAAAATGTATATCTATTATTGTTGTTCACTGAAAATTTGTTGTTTTTTGTTTTTGTTATTCCTTTTTTTGACATATTATATTCATATGAGTTTACAAAAATAATCTTGTTGTGTTGTCCAACATATATTTCATTTGTTGAAAGATGTATCGTATGTTGAAACATGTTAGTGATATGTTTGTACATATTCCAAAAGAGTTGTCATATGTTGGAAGATGTCACCTATGTGTTAGAGTAACAAAATGGTTATCTGTAACAACATGTTACACATTGTGACAACAAAAGATTCATCTACATCAATAAAGGTACATATGTGGCAACAAAATGTCCATATGTGTTAACATAAGTATAAATTGCCACCAATTATTATTTTAGGGATAATGCCCAAGTACCCCCTCAACCTATGCCCGAAATCTCAGAGACACACTTATACTATACTAAGGTCCTATTACCCCCCTGAACTTATTTTATTGATAATTTTTTACCCCTTTTTAGCTTACGTGACACTATCTTGTGGGTCCAACGATGATTGACTTTTTTTTCGAACTAGTGCCACGTAGGCTAAAAAGGGGTAGAAAATTACATATAAAATAAGTTCAGGGGGGTAATAGGACCTTAGTATAGTATAAGTGTGTCTCTGGGATTTCGGGCATAGGTTGAGGGGGTACTTGAGTATTTTCCCATTATTTTATAATAAGTTGTAAACTCTAAACATTTTTTTATTTACCTTGTAGATCAAATGACACCCGAAGATTCATCTATGACAACAACTCAATCTTTTGTTGGTGATGAATCATCTTTTAATATTAAATGCTCTTTTATGATTTGAAGAATGTGAGCAACGATATGATTTTTTTATTACTTGTGTTAAAGAACTCTCTAATATTTTAAGGAAATGACTTATAATATTAATATTATAAAAACAGCGGATGTTTTTTTTTATCTTTTTATCCTTCCAACTTTATTAAGATTTTTTAAGTGCCTATAATTTGGCCTCCTTGGTATGTCAAGTAATGAAGAACTCGCTAATGGCATCAACAAACTCAAAATTGATATAATATTGTTAATTAATAAATATTTAACTTATTTATATCATTTTATTTCGTTATTCTATTTTAAATATGATAAAATTTATTTACATACATCCATGAAGATTTCACAGTCTTTGAAGTATACGAGGTTGAAAAAATATATTTCTCAATTACTATTTATAATTTGTAAACGAAAACAAATCAACGAATATTGATCCAGTTTCTTGCTTAATCCCAAAAGAAAAGGAGAAAAAGAAGGAGAAGGAGAAATATAAAGGCAAAGCTAATAAGAAAGAGAAAGAGAAAGAGAAAGAGAAAAAGAAGGGAAGAAAGTCTTCAGTTGTGATGTGAAGCAACACTATTCATTTGTAGGTTTTAACATTATCGGCGAGGGTGCAACTCAACTAATGTTATACTTCTCGCAATGGATAAACAAGGGTCTTTACAAGAATCATGCAAAACAGTAAAGTTTTTCAAATATTATTAGTATTTCTTATTGATGACCACTAAATAATTATTTATAATGTTTACCAAATTACACAAGAGACAAGGATGGTCACCACTTAGTAAATTAATCGAAACTTGAATTCAAACAACATGATTTTATTATTGAATTTACAAAAAAAATAAAGGATTGGTTCTACATAATGTCTCAACCCAATAGATTTTGGACTGATGAGGCAAATCCATTCCACTTATGTGTTGATTAAGACATGAATACATACTAATAATTGAAAATAGAATACACTTGTTGATGCATTTGTGAACCATGTGGATGTCATTTTATAGTATTTTCCGAAGAAGTGAAAACAACAGTCATTTTAAATATACATATACCACTACTAATTGTCTTTTAAAAACATATATTGACAATGTCAGTGTTGTTCTTGAAATTGAGAATAAAATCGTTGACACTGTCAAAGGGTTTGTTATACCAGTTGGACTGCCTTGGCATCTCCCATACGAGGTTTATATCCCAGTAAATTGTAATTGGGAGTTTCATTGGGTCTTGGTTGTCGTTGTATTGAAGGAAGAATCCATAAAGGTGTATGATCCAATGTCCTCATATAGGACTTACAAAAAATTGTCCGTCGAGATGCAAAAGTTGTCTACAATGTTGTCAATTTACCTTCAATCTAGCGGAATTTTTAAGCGAAAAACACCGAACAACATGTCACCCATTCCAAGTCATAAGTATTATGATATTTACCAAGAAAGCAATAGTATTTAAGTATCAAATAATTTTTTTGTATTATCATTAACGAAATCTTATTATATTAGGTTTAGTATATTTTCTAATTTATTATATACCATACAAAGATTGTAAACTTTTTGTTGTTGCATACGCCAAGTTTTTGAGTGATGGACTACTAGTACCATCTGATGGAATTATTTCTCAATCCATTTGCATGAGATATGCTTCAATCGTTTAAAATTATGAGATTTTAAATCCTCAGAGTGAATATATTAGTAACAATGACGACCCATAGAGGCCTAGACGTGAAAAAGCAAAGTTTATATCTCCAAATGAAAATTTTGTTGTTACCACCACTGATATGATATAGTTTTAATGGTTATGTATACCATTGTAAATTAACTTATTGTTGATAAGTTGTATGAAAAATTTGATGAAGTATTCGTTTTTGTTGATAATATTAATGATTATTATTATATTTATTTTGTTAGAAGAAATGTCAATCACATTGGAAAGGAAGAAATGTTGTATATGTAGCAACATATATGTCACTCACCTAGACCACACCCTAGAAGATATGTCACTCTCGGAGCACGATACGGCATACTTGACCTCTCGGAGGTCTTGTACAACCCCTTTGACATCATTAAATGCATACATGTATGAAAAGTAGTGCCTTTTTACACGAAAACATCTTAAAATATCTTTCATATTAAAATCATAGAAAACTTCAAGTCTCAATATATGCCATCCTTAGACTTAAAGAAATATTGGGACACGGCCAATAGAATCGAAATATAACAATCTAATATATATTACAATACAATGAAATAAAGAAGTCTAAATACTATGATGCCCTCGAGTAAAGTGAGGAAACACTTCAACTATGCTTGAACGATAACTAGTTTCCAAGCTTTGCTTCAAGATCCTTCTCAACTTCCACCTAAACCTTTAGATATAACAAAATGTTGGTAATTAGTACAAACACATGTACTGAGTATGACTTAATGCATAAAATCATGGGAAACAAATATTTATGAGAAACGTTCTCTTTTTTATTAAAACTTCATAGTATAAGCATAAAAATCACATTTAAACACCAAACAACACAATTAGTAGACATTACAATTTATACATAATGTCCATGCATGTTACAGTGAAGCTTATAGTGACTTCACTATAAATTCATCCAATATTCACATATCACACTATAGCATCAAAGTATATCCAAAACACATAAATATGAGATCCTCTTACCAAAGGTAATTCTATTATTCACTTGAATGAGCTATGAAGCGACCGCCCATAAAATTCCTTCATACACACCTAAGAGATCCTTTAGAGTAGCTAGGATAAGATCATTATCACTTCATACAATAACATATATAATATTAAATTCTCCTCCCAAAGGTTATCAAAAGACTTACTAAATTAACTCAACAAGAGAACGCACATACACCTTCTCCAATATTACCTATATAATCCTTAAGACTACCTAAGTTTAGATCAAGTATAATGTATCAAAAACTTTCCTATCTAGAGTTATTGTTAACACTTCCCTAGGTAATACATGAAGTGACCATTCATATTCCCCCTTCACACCTTAACTAGGCAACCTTTAAACTACTCTATATAAGAACTAATTCATTTACATGCTTTCTAACTTAAGTCATTATCTTCATTAGTTCACTTAAGAGAGATTCATCACACAAGGACATTCAAATAATGCTCTTGGAGAAGAACTAGGAACTCACTCACTAACATCGTAAAAGTCTAATCATGCAATGTCTAGATAGCATCTCATACCACCACCTAAACATCATAGAACTACTCCAACACTAGTGTGTATCCAATATGATGAGAATAGGCAATAACTGACATAGACTATGGTAGCTAATCATGGAATCCCAAGTCAACCCTAATACGGTAAAGGGTAGAACTTCGACAGATCTCATGTAGGCACATGGTTAAGGAATATGAAGGGTTTCTTTGTACTCTAGCCTCATCCTTAACTAGCTACTTTCCAAATAATACTTACTCGGTGCTAACCTTTGTTCTCATGGAGAATTTCAATAAAGGAGTACATAAAGAGGTTCCATATCAAGTTCATAACCCAATCACAACACCTTACCGAAGAGGTCCCCTAGGGTTTCCTTACAATGGTCAAGAGGATAGCTGCATGACATTCCAAAGGATGATTTCATGTTTCTCCTAAAAATCAATCTTAAGTCCACCATTCACACAAGAAGGATATTGTTACGGCTTTTGACTTCGAGGATATAATAACCTTAAATCTAAGATGAAGGCTCCACATAAGGACTTTCTTTTCAATGTTCAAGGTCAAATTTCAATCACACATACAAGACTAAGAATAGTTAGCATACTAATCCTAGAACATATATTAACAGTATACATGTATCAAATAAGGGAAACAAGTCTACGAAAATGAGACACACACTTACTTCACATATAACATATCATTCTAGAAGAACATAGGCATAACAAACATCATATATAGGTCACCCTATTCAGTAACATAATATCATCAATATAAATATCATAAGACTCATATAACAAAATAGGAAGAATCATGCATCAACTCTAAAACTACACACATAAGGACATAGTCATTGTCTAAAATTATCACCTAATGTTAATAGAAGGAACACATACTTTCACGTTGGATATAATCATACATCACATAAATCACTACACAAATCATCATAATATATCAAGTAATGCCGACAAGGTCGTGACCTTCAAAATTCATAAAGTAAAACAAGCAAGGCCACATAATTCCCAAGTAAAGCATATAGATTCGCCACCATAAGTAATACTAATCCAAACATAATTCAAGACCTAATTTGCATAAAATAAAGAAAATGAGAGCAGCGTACCACCAATCCACTATCACCTATTCAATCCATAGCAAAATCATCCAACACAATACTCAATGGCCCTTACCCATGACCATGATCACCAATTCAATCCAATACTTACAATAGACAATGAATCAAAGATAATTCAACATAGACTTATGAATTTAGGGAATCATATTACAATTGTAACATGATTCTATCATAATTCAATAGCCTTAATAAAACTACATGAGAATTAATAGAATTAAGAAATAATCAAGTCCCCCACCAATGAGCCAAAAACTAGGGTTCATGAATTAAATGGGTTCATAGAGTAATTAGTTTTAAACCATCAAATTAACATCAATTCAATCAATTTATTATGATTCAAAACGTTTTATGCAAGAACCCATGGGTACATATCAAAATTGGACAAGTTCATCTTTGAAAGACTTTAGAAATCACTTTGAAGTTCTACTCCTTATAGAAAATAGATTCAGTATGAAGGATCATAACATTATTGATGCTAGACCACGAATTTGATAAATAATCTATGAATAATCACCAAAGAAATCTTCAATCCAAGATCTATCTTAAGTTTTGGCTCCAATGGAGTTCTATAGAATTTGAGTTTTGATTTTGCAAAGTGAATTCATATAGGTGTTTACGACATATAAAATTTGTATAATACCCAAATATCTTTAGGAAACCTCCCTTTTAATAATTTGTACGTGGGGTTAACTTACCAATTCAAGCCTTCACTTAACTGTGAAGCTCCAAAATTGCAGACGCAAACGACGCCTGCCTCACCTACGGAACGTCCTTCTTGTCCACGGTTTGGGTCTGAGTCTGGTACAAAGGGAGGACAACCTCCGACGCCTAATTTTTAAACTACTCCCCTCACTTACGTGGCGTTGACCAGCCTACTTTGCGTCGTCTCCCTTCAGTAGGTTGGGCTGGTTTGACAACGTTTTGCTCAAATGATGGGTCCTTCCTCGAGGACCCTTGGTTGATGCTTGGGGACTTTTTCTTCGACGTTTCAAACCCAAATATGTTTGTATATGAGTTTAGGAACTCTCACATCAATTTCATAAAAAACGAACATGTAAAACTCAATGAAACATACTAACACACACAAGGTTGTTTCAAGGCAAACCTTTCGAACGCCATGGACGTTCTTGGATGTTTGACCGCCAAATATGAAACTTTAACCACTGCCTCCTAACCTCATTTTAACCAATTTTATGACTTCAAAACATTTAGAAACAAATGTCAGGATCTAGTTCCACCTAAGTCGTCATAGAGGTATTACAATCTCCCCCACTAGGACAACATTCGTCCTCGAATGACACTTGTTTCTTTTGAAAAACTTTCAAGAGACAAGACACTAATGACTATCATAACATAGCCATACCACACCATTCACAATATAAAATTAGAAAGAACACCAACTTCACATAATCAAGAGATTCACAACACAACAAGAAGCTGGAAACTAATCTACAACTCATTATGCAATAAGAGTCATATCCTTCATGTCAAATATCAAGAACTCTTTTTATATTAATTATCATGCTAATATAAATCATTTATATACGCATTACAAAAATTTTCAACCAAATAAATTTAGTCAATTTCCCAATAATTTTACAGAAAGTTGCCATGCATTACAATGAACATTCTTCAAAATTCCAAAAATGCAAGTTTTAAGCCATTAATGTTGACAGCATGACAATACGAAGACAAAACCATATAAAATCATTTTAAAACATAATCATAACTTCATAAAATAAACAAATCAAGGAATCAATGAAATTTAATTTCAAGAAGACTTTAAAACATAATGCAACAATGTATTATAAGAAATGAGACAATCACTCAAAACTCCACTAATCACCATACTCCCCCACATAGAAGGAACTCATCACAACTAAAAGAAGAAGCTATGACTTATGAATATCATCTTCATCATCTTTCTTTGATCCTCTAGACCGGAATGCATAGAAGCAATTCTTCCTTGGACCATCATCACTCGAAACACTTAGAGGAACTTGTTTAGCTTCCCTTCCTCTAGCCGCAATAGTAGGACAATCTATCACCTTTTGTCCATCCTTAACACAACCAAAGCAATTTCATGTACTAATTAGACATTTCCCTTAGTGTTTCTTCCCACAAGTTGCACAAGTAGGCTTACCACCTTGAGAACCACTTACCTTCTCAAGTTTGACCTTAGGATCTCAAGGTTCATCTTGAGTTTGAGCCCTCTTCTTGAACCAAGGTTGGTTTTGATCACTTGGTCCACTCCTATTCAAGTTTATAGAATTCCTACTAATCTTTGATTCCTCTATGGATTGAGCATATACCATGAGTCTATAAAAGTTCATGTCACCCTGGAGCATGGTTGTATGAAATTCTTCTTTCACAAGGATGACAACATCGGTCAGAAAGCTACTCATCTCATCCCTAGGGTGAGACACCAAGTATTGATCATACCTAAATAACCTAGTGAACTTCAAGTAACACTCGTCAAAACTCATATTGTCTTGCTTGAGATTAATGAACTCTTAAACCTTGACCTACCTCATATCATGGGGAAATTACTTTCCTAAGAAAGCCTCCTTAAAATCTTCCTACTATATAGGACCCGACTCAACCGGCCTATTATCTTTCCATTGACTGTACCACACTTGAGAAACCTCCCTCAATTGGAACGAAGCTAACTCCGCCTTCTCTCTAGAAGTCTTCCCATGATAATCAACATCTTAAACACATCATTCAGATACTCTTAGGGATCCTCTCCCAGCTTAGAGACAAGAAATGTATGAGGATTCATCCTCACAAAATCTCTCAAACTAGTTGTCATGGTGCTCTCCACAACATTCACTCTATGTTCAATACCCCTATTAACATGGGTAGTCATGGATCAGGCAAAAGTAAGTAAAGCATCTCTAATTTCCTTATTAGTCATTTACGGGGAAACAACCATAACTTCATTACCTTGACCTCTAATAGGGATTTGAACACCTTGAGCACCTTGAGCCCCTTGAGTACCTTGAAGAACTTGCTTAACTTGAGGAGGAACTTCCTCATTCACCCTTCCCTCTTCCAACCTTCTAGAGGCCATCCTTTTAGTATTCATCTCCTATAAACACAAAAGAAAATATTAGGAATAGACACTTACAACCTCAACTATATAGGAACGACACAAGATTTATCAAGAAAGTGAAACTCTATCATCCTATAACCTCTCGCCCATAGATGTGTCGTGAATCACAGTGATGGCCAATACTCTACTAAACGTGACATTATACAATAACATATATACAATATGACATTCTCCTCCCAAAGGTTATCAAAAGACTTACAGAAGTAACTCAACAAGAGAACGCCCATACACCTTCACCAATATTACCTATATAAACCTTAAGACTACCTATGTTTAGATCAAGTCTAATGTATCCACAATATTCCTATCTAGATTCATTATTAAGACTTCCCTAGGTAAGACATGAAGTGACCATTGATATGCCCCCTTCACACCTTAACTAGGAAAACTTTATACTACTCTAGATAAGAACTTATTCATTTACATACTTTCTAACTTAAGTCATTATCGTTATAAGTTCACTTAAGAGATATTCATCACACAAGGACATTCAAATAATGGTCTTGGAGAATACCTAGGGGACTCACTAACATCTTAAAAGTGTAATTGTGTAATGTCTAGATATCGTCCCATACCACCACCTAAACTTCATAGTACTAATCAAACACTAATGGGTATCCCATATGATGACAATAGGCAATAACTGATATAGACCATGGTAGCTAAGCATGGAATCCGTAGTTAACCCTACTTAGATAAAGGGTAGAACTTGGACAGACCCCTTCTAGGCACATGGTTAAGGAATATGATTGATTTCATTGTACTCTAGCCTCATCCTTAACTAGAGCTACTTCCCAAACCATAGTCACTTGGTGCTAGCCTTTTTTCTCATGGAATATTTCAACAAAGGAGTACATGAAAAGGTTCCATATAAAGTTCATAACCCAATCACAACACCTTACCAAAGAAGTCCCCTAGGGTTGCCTTACAATGTCAAGAGGATAGCTCAATGACATAGCTAAGGATAATTTCATTCCGTTCAAGCCAATCAACCTTAAGCCCACCATTCACACAAGAACGATACCACTACGACTTTCAACTTCAAGTATATCATAACCTTACATCTAGGATGAAGGCTCCACATAAAGGACGTTCGTAGCAATGTTCAAGGTCATATGTCAATCACACATACACGACAAAGAATGTTTATCATACTAATTCAAGAACGCATATTAACATTATACATGTATAAAATAAGGGAAACAAGTCTACCAAAATGAGACACACACATATTTCGCATATAGCATATCATTGTAGAAGCACATAGGCATAACCAACAACATCTATACGTCACCCTATTCACTACTTTAATATCATCTATATAACTATCATGAGACTCACATAACCAAATAGTAAGAATCGTGCATCAATTCTAAGAATACACACATAAGGACATAGTCATTGTCTAACATGATCACCTAATGTTGATAGAAGGAACACATACTTTCAGAGTACTCACAAGTAGATGGATATGATCATACTTCACATAAGTCACTACACAAATCATCATCATATATCAAATAATTCTGACAAGGACATGATCATCATAATTCATAAAGTAACGTCTATGAGGCCACAAAGTTCACAAGTAAAGCACAGTGGACCATTAAAATCACAACATAATTCAAGACCTAATTTACATAAAATAAAGAGAATGAGGGCAGTGCCCACCAATACACTCTCACCACTTCAATTCATAGCTAAATCATCCAACACAATACTCAAAGGCCCTTACCCATGGCCATGATCACCAATTCAATAAAATACTTACAATAGACAATTAATCAAAGATAAAAAAAAATTTACATTTATGAATTTAGGGCAGAATATTAACAATTCTAACATGATTCTATAATAATTCAATAGGCTAATCAAACTACATAAGGATTCAATAGCATTAAGACATAATCAAATCACCTACAGAGTAGTAAAAAAACTAGGGTTTATGAATTACATAGGTTCATAGAGTAATTAGGTTAAAACCATCAAATTAGCATCAATTCAATCAATCTATTATGATTCGAAATATTTTATGCAAGAACCCATGGATATATATTAAAATTGGAAAGTTCATCTTTGAATGACTATAGAAATCACTTTGAAGTTTGACTCCTTGAAGAAAAGAAATTCAAGGATGAAGCACCTAGATGAAAGACTATAGAAATCACTTTGAAGTTTGACTCCTTGAAGAGAAGAGATTTAAGGATGAAGGACCATACCTTGATTGAGGATAGACCACGAGTTTAATTAAGAATTGATGAATATTTACCATAGAAAGCTTCAATCCAAACTCTATCTTGAGTTTTGGCTCCAATGGAGTTCTAGAGAATTTGTTAGAGAATTTGGGTTTTGATTTTGCGAAGTGAATCCATCTAGGTGTTTAAGACATATAAAAATATTTATAATACCCAAAATATCCTTAGGAGGTATCCATTTTAGATATTTGCATGTGGGGTGAATATACCAATTCACCCTTTCACTTAACAATCAAGCAGCGAAATTGGAGACTCAAACGTCGCCTGCCTCGCCTACGGACTATTATCCAACCAACGGACCCTCCTGTTGGTCCACCGTTTCGATTAGAGGCTGTTCCAAAGGGAGGAAAACCTCCCACATTTAAGTGCCAACCTACTCCCCTCACCTACGAGGTGTCGATTGCCTTTCGTAGGCTGTGCTGCTTTAACAGCTTTTGGCTTAAATGATGGGTACTTTCTCAAGGACCCGTGGTTGGTCCTTGGGGACTTTTGCATGGACGTTTCCAACCCGAATATGTTCATATACGATTTAGAACCTATCACATAAATTTAATCCATGAGGAACACGTAAAACTCAACGTAACATACTAAGACACACAAGGTCGTTTCAAGGCAAACCTTTCAAACGTCATCGATGTTCTTGGACGTTTGATCTCCAAACTTCATGAAACTTGAACCACTACCTCCTAAAATCATCTTAACCCTTTTTAGGACTTCAAAACATTATGACACATGCGTTAGAGTCTAGTTCCATCTAAGTAGTTTTAGAGGTATTACAATATATAACCTTTGTTGTAAAAAATCACACAATTATATGCATGTGCCCAAGCATAAAGGTGATGTGTAACAACATATATAGCCTCTTTTATAAAAAATCAACATAATTATTTGCATGTGCCCCAACATAAAGGAGCTATGTGGAAACAAATAAAACAAATGACACAAAGATCTAGAAGAGGCTTAGGTCTAAACATTTAGAACGAAGAATGAAAATTCCAGTTCCACTCTTTTAGAAGAACTTGCATCTAAAGCAATTTCTTCTTCTCAAGTAGAGTACGGAGTTTCTTTTTCTAAAGTAGAACCATAATTTTATCTAAATTATCTTGAAATTGTCCATAAATTTTTTGTAGAGTAAGAAGGACAAGAAAAAAATCAAGTGGATAGTGATAGAAAAGATAAAAATGAACTTGATTATGATGAAGAAAGTGAAGAAGAAACGTATGAAGAATAAAAATAAAAGTTCAGAAACAAAAAAGAGAAAAAAAAATTGAGGAAGAATAAGGAAAAAAAGTGTTGAGGAAGAAAAAGAAAGAAAGAAGAAGTTGAGGATGAGGAGATCAAAATATTCGATGTACACACATTCCCTTAGCATATCAAACCTAATTCTATTGTTGATAGCATCATAAGGTAAGTCATTGTAAAATCTCAACTCATTTGGGACCATACTCCAAAAAAATGATATAGAAGAATTTTTTAAGGAATAGTTATTTTTGTCAATATTCTAATTTGCAATTACTAATAATGCACCTTTTCAAATGAATATTGTCTATGATTTTCTGAAGAGAAGATTTATTTCTTAGAATGATGAGGAGTAGATTAATTATTATGGAAAGCCACTCTTCTTTGGCAAAAAAAGAGTTTTTCATATTTACAATGTTAAAATGTCATTCTCCTTATGAGTAAATCTCTCTTTTGACGACAAAAAATAACCACACAGTGGAAAGAATGGAGGAGAAGCACAAAAAGGTAAGGAACAACCAACTAAGGAGAATGACTTGGTGTCCTTTGATGGCCCAAGGTTTATGAACCCCAAATTTGTAGGTTTGTTAATGACAAGGATACATCAAAGAAGCACAAGGAGTCGTTGTACTTACTTTTATTTATTCATAATTTACTTATGTCCAAATATGTTAACAACAACATACCTCATAATTATGTAAAGTTATTCCAGGATATTGAGTCTTGCAACAACTATCCTTGGGGTCATGACAACCACGAATTTACTTTCAAATACTTGTTGACTCCTAAAACTTTAGAGACCAACAACTTATTTTTCTTTCCATTTTATTTCATGGTAAATATAAATGTTCTTAATCTTATATTTTATTTAGTAATTCAACATTTCATTTGTGACATGTTTTCCTTTTTTTATAGGGTTGGGCATTTGAAGTCGTTCCTCATTTGGGGCATCAAGTCACTACAAAGAAGAAATTTTATCTCAAAGGATATTAAGATGGCTGAAAGCATAAAATGTCAAAAATTCTCGAGATATTTTTAACCACCGTGATGATTCAGTAAGTTTTTATTTTACGAAGTTCAAATTGTCATATGTGTCAAATGTTGTTATAGATGAGACATGTGTTGCAATATATGAGTCATTTGTTGATGCAGATGCCCCATATGTTGCAACATATCACCCATATGTAGTAACATGTTGCCCATCTATAACCAACATGTTATCCAAATGTTGCTTTAGATGATTTATATGTTGCTACATATGATCAATCTATTGCAACATGTGACAAAAATGTCGATACAGATGCCCATGCAACATATCACCAATCTGTAGCAATATATGACACATTTGTTACAACGTCTGACCCAAATATTACTACATATTATTCATTTTTATAATTTTCGATTGTGCAACCATGGCTTGTGCCAACATAAAAGGAATTGTAAATGCCATTTGTGATTACTCTAGGGTTGGTTGAAACCTTACTTGATCCAGTAATAGATAGGGTTAAAAGGGAAATGACTAGAGCAACAACTTTTAAAAGATAAAGATTTGATGATTACTTAGTTGTTTTTAATGAGGATATGGTTAATACAGTTATAAGGATTGGTGTTTATAATGGTGACGGTGTTGGTGTTGGTGTAGATATTGCTGGTCGTATTTGTGCTAGTGGTGTTGTTGGTTATGGTGGACATAGTTTTGGGGCTACCTCTTGTAGTTGTTTATCTAGATTTATATTTGAGAAGTTCAAGAAACATGATGATGTTTTCATTATGTATGTTCAAACATTGAGTGAGGTTGCTAAATAATTTAAATATAAGATAAGGGTCAGGGTCACTCCATCAAACAAGGTTGGGGATCCTAATATTCCATAGGGCTAGTAGATAAAAAAATCCTTTATCAAGGTTGTATATAATTTGAAGAAGAAAATATTTGGAGAATTGCCCATGGTCATAGGATAAAAGCTAGAGCTCAAGCAAGTTAATAGTTATAATTAGGTGTCTGTACCTAAAAATTACCAAACTGTTGGAACTTATGAAACTAAAGGAAATGTGTGCATAATACAACATGCATTATTCTAGTTGAAATGATTTCAGGTCCATGACAAGCATAAATATTTAATTGGAAGAATAGGTAACAAGCGCATAATGTCCACTGGAACGGCCATGGATATTTCTCTCTATGAACCTTCTTCTATTTATAAAGTTTGTTTGTCTTTATCTTTTAAATCATTAGTCTTATTTAGGATTTAATATTAATTTTTATTTAAGTAATATTGATGAAATTCTTAACTTCATGATGGAGAGGTATTTGAGATACTATTAGCACTATGATTTCATAGATAGAATCATGGATATCAACATCTATACCAACTTCAAACAAAGGTATGACATATAGGAGGCAAAATCACTTGGTGGTAGAAGCTTTACACAGTTAATTAATGAGTTTGTATGGAATGTCGTTATGGTTGACTACGTCAGGGGTTGTTGATCATATCTTTGAGGCATAGATTTAATTGGTTCGAAAAGAATTTTTGCAGTCATGAACATGAACAAAAATGATTTTTGGATTTTGATATCCTCTTGCAGAAGGGAAACATGAATGTTTATGGAGGCAACATGATGAGTATGGAACATGACAAGTTTTTGACATTCATACAACTTGTGTTTGAGTTTCTGCCAAGCTTGTTGAGGAAAGGTGGAATAATTGAGTATTTTCCAGATAAGGTCCTCAATGAACTGTGGAAATTTAAAGGTGGATTGGAACCCATGGTAAAAAAATAACACTTATTCCACGTTCGGTCATATTTGCTTCCATTAAATTGAGCATTTGATTACCAACACATCAATTCAACATGCCAACACCAAGTTATGTGACAATATAGTTGATCGAATGTGATGGAGTTGGGCTGTTGGGATAGTATCTAGCATCTTGGATCTTTGGCAATGTGTTTTTAATTAATGACAATGTTTTATTTTATCTGTTATGTTATGTTATCTCACATTGACAGAAAGTACATAGAATGTGATGTTATGTTTCTCATACCATTTTCCTTTTTAACTCTATCAATCCACAACATAATCAAATTTTGCTATAGATAGCTGAATGTTGCTACATTCGAGGCATCGGTAGCAAGAAATAAGTCATTTTTCATAAGAAAACAATAAAATCTACAATGTAGTCATTTAGAGAGTTTTGTTTATGTGGATATTTTCTCCCAACATGTTTGTTTATTTATTTTTGCATATAAGCTTTATCATACATAGGTCATTTGGCCAGACGATATTAACAATACTTTGTTTTAATATAGTTTGGTTTGAGATCTTATTTATAATCGTCTTGATTAAATTGTAAGCTTCCGCGTGACGCCCCAATCACTTTTGAACCCAACAAGTAGTATAAGAGCACATGGTTCAATAATTTAATGGTTGAGTGATATTGAAGACATGTTCAAGTGGTTTCAAATCAATTTGTAATCGACATGATGATAATAAAAAAATTTGTGCTATTACATGTGCTGAAATTTGTTAAATATGTTTTGAACAATTCTGTTGCTCTACCTTTATAAAAATCAACATCTAACCCCAACAAAACTTTAACGTTCGGACTCCACTTAACTCATTCATCTTACGCATGGCTCCACTTTCAACTCGTGCATATTACTTTTGATGCATGATCTCCACATTCAACCCTGCTCATTTCTTTTAACACATGACTCCAATTTCTAACCCATATAAATTTTCGATCATGGTAAGTTGTATGATACATAATGATTTTGTGAAGACCAAAATTATCAGGCATATGAAGATTCAACCAAAAAGGGATATTTGTTAGGGTATTGTCCTGATTTTCTTAAGTTATTTGACTTTTATTTTTATTTTCAAAAAAAAGACAAAAGATTAATGTAAATATTTTTACTTTTCATGAAAGGAAACATATTTTTCTTCTATATGTGGTTTACTCTTTCCTTAGAATAAAAGTTTTGAAATCTATAAATTGGATATTTATCTTCTCATATCAACAAAACAAGCATCCACAATGTAGTCATTTCAAGAGTTTTGTTTTTAGAGGATTTTCTCCCAACATGTTAGTATTTTTTAATATTAATTTATCATATGTAGGTTGTTACAAATATTATCAATAATATTATGTTTTAGGATAACTTCATTCATCATCTAATTTTTCATCGTTTTGATTGCAATCATAAGCTTCTACATGATGCCCTAATAACTTTCATACCCAACAAGTAGTATTAATCCACATGGTTCAATGATCCAATGGTTTTCCAAGATTATAGATAAATTCAAATGGTTTCAAATCAATTTTGAATCAACGTGATGATAATGAAGATTTTTGTGCTACTTCATGTGCATAAAATTTTTAAATATAATTTCAACTATCCAGTTGCTCTATAAATAAAAACAAAATCAATTTTCAACCCAGAATTTTTTTATGTTCGGACTCCACTTCTAACTCATGCATCTTATTTTTAACGCATGAGTTCTACTTTCAACTCAACATATAACTTTTAAAGCATGAGCTTCACTTTTAATCTTGCTCATAACTTTTAACACAAGGCTCAAAATTTTAGCCCATATCAATTCTTAATTCATGGTAAGAAGCATTGATACATGAATAATTTTTTAAGAACAAATTCATCAAACATATCAAGAAGGCGGATCAAGTTTTGTCAAGAAAATTCAGTCAAAAGGGGAGATTTGTTTAGGTTTTGCCTTGATTTTCTTACCTTATTTAAACTTTATTTTTTTTCTCAAAAAAGACAAAACATTATAATAAATGATTTTACTTTTCATGAAATAAAATATATTTTTCTTTCATATTTGGAGATCAATATATTGAAGATCTATCTTCTCATATCCAAAAAATAATAACATCTACAATGTAGTCGTTTAAAGAGTCTTGATCATGAGGAGATTACGTATAAAAATGTTTTGTTTTTCATATTAGTATTATCATATGCAGTTTATCTGGACAAACCATAGTAATAATAATATGTTTTAGTATAACTTTATTTGTCATTTAAGTTACCGTTGTTTTGATTGCAATTGTAGACTTTCGCATGACGTCCTAATCACTTTGAACCCAACAAATTGTTGACATTTTCTCCTCTTCCATGTTTTGAAATTTTTAGGATTTGAATTTCTGAATAATTTGTAGAATAATCAGAAATTGTATTAGTCTTGTAGGATAAATGAGTTTTTTTCCAAAATTGTTTTTGATGCATTTTGATTTGCTTTTTCTTTTTGTACTCTAATAAAAATATGTAGAAGTGAACTCATTTGATTTTTTGTTCAAGTGATTCTTCTCCGTCAATGATAACAACAAAGATGATACTGATGATGGTGGTATGATGCTAAGCTAAAAGATTGAAGGATTATATGGAAAAGAGGTGTATCAAGAGATGGTGGCGAATCAATTTGCCTAATGAGGTTCTAGGTAATCCTGGATTGAGAAGTTCAACTGGGAAAGACAAAATTAGGCAGATGACTTGTAGTGATTTAATTTTTTTATATGTTCAATTTTATCATTTTTCTACGGTTGAGGGAAAACTTTTTATAAGGAAACAATTAAAAATATTATGGAAAAAATAAAATATTAAAATTCATGAATATATTAGGGAAAACATTACATATCATTATGAAAGAAAGGAACAATAATAACAAAGTTTAAAACAATATGTTGAGAATATCCAGTAGTTCACAAGAAACAATATCTTGTAAACTTCTGTTTCCACACTACACGCTTGAACTAAGTTGGAATGTTATATATTCATGCTCTTACTACCCAGAAAATTCACATGAAGAACGGTTTATGCAACCAATTACTCGATTATCTTACTCTTGAAGTCTGTCAAGAAAATTCACATGAAAAACCTACAAAAATGATGAATCTGCCTAATCAACTGATAACTAATTATCTATGAAAACAAAACCACAAAAATTAAATACAACACAAAGTAGCCTGTTTTTGTGTTCCTATTAGCAAAAGAAGCATCCCTTACAAGACAACATAATGAGAGCCCTCTTCTAAGGGATGAATACTGAGAAGAGGGCTCTCATTAAGTTGTCTTGTAAGGGATGCTTATTTTGCTAATAGCCACACAAAAACAAGCTACTTTGTGTGATATTTTAGTTATATAGATTTTTTTCATGGATAATTAGCTATACGTTGTTTAGGCAGATTCATCTTTTTTGTAAGTTTTTCATGTGAATTTTCTTGACGGACTTCAAGAGTAATATAATCCAGTGTTGCTTGCAAAAACTGCTTTTCATTTGAATTTTCTTGGTAGTAAGAGCGTGTATATAATACATACCAAGGTAGTCCAAACATGTAGTGTGGAAGTAGAAGTGTACAAGTTATGGTTTCTTGTGAACTACAGGATATTCGAGCGTATTGTTTGCAACTTTGTTGTTATTGTTGCTTTATATCAGAATGCTATGCAATGTTTTCCCTGATTTCGTCATGAACTTTAAAAAATCATTATTCCTTGAACTGTTTTGAATTGTTTCATTGATAAATGTTTTCCCTCAACATCAAGAAAAATGATAATTTGAACATATAAAAAAAGAAAAATATCGATGTCTGGCATCTACCCAACTTTGTCTTCCTTAATTGAACTTCTCAATCCAAGATTACCTAGAACCTCATCAGGCAACCTCAAACCTTGCCTTAAAAATTACTTTTTTAGTTTGGTGTTATCCCCCTTATTAATTCAATGGCTCTCTCATTTTAGCATCGATTGAAAAATTCTTTAGTTTGTTAGATGTATTCTTGTTATTTCTTCTTTTCTCTTGGAGTGGAGAGAAATCTCAATCTTAGTTACGCAGTCTCCTTACTTTTGATGCCACATCTATGTCGGACTCTTTAATAATACACTACTTTCGTCCAATCCAACAAACACTCATTGACATTTCAGATGAGTCCGAGCAACATAGCTCTCAAGGTTGTGGTCTAGCGGTATAGACATTTAAGTGCCTACATTGGAGTTTGTAGGTGAATAGTTGAGGTGTACTGAAACTAGTTAATGACATTAGTTTTATGCCTTAAAAATAGGGTGTAAGAGGAAGAGAAAGTTGAAAGATAAATTTAGTTTATATTTGTTTGGTTTGCAAACAAATAAAATTATGAATGCAAAAGAGACATTTATTTTCTGCCTTTCTTTTCTTTTGAACGAGCAGAGAATTTACTGAGTAGTTTTTTCTTTCAGGTTAAAGGAATTATTTTCTAATATTTTCCTTTTGTTTTTCTTTTCTTCCTTAACCTATTTTGATTTTAAAAAACATGATTAATATATCGAATGTACTTTGTATAGGATCCCCTTCGTTTTTAGGATTTCTTCCTTTATTCAAGTAAATAAAAGGTTAATGGCGGTTTGCAGATAATGAATTCTCTTCATTATTATTAAACTCCTTATAGTTTATTAGTAACAATGATATTTGATCGGTCCGTAGGAATGTAACTATGGTCAGTGAACTAAAATCATAAGGAAGGAAGTGGACTCAAAAGACTTAGACATGGCTGGTATCAATGTAGAGTTAGATAAATATAGGATAAAAAGGAAGAAAAGATTCATACAACTGATAGCTATGAGTAGAAAATAGGTGTTCGGCTCATATGGAATTTTTTTTAAAAAAAAAATTGATAATTGTATACCTATGCCTATGTTAAATTCAAAACACTTATCATAGAAACAATGTCATTTGAGTTGATTAGATTAAAACACTAGAGCAACATTAACTTTCGTTTGATCTTCTAAGCTTTATTCTCAACATTCTAAACCGTCTGGAATTCCCTTTCTTCCAGATTGTCCCACCATATCAATGCAGGGACAAATTCTCAGTCTACTTTTGTGAACACACATTCAAATGTGCAATACAAACATTTTATTCATTCTTCAGGTACTCGATGAGAACAAATAATAGTTTTAGTGTCTACACAAAATTTACTGACAAACAAGGAATTAACGATGAACAACAACAAACAACCTACTGTAATCCCATCGGTAGGGTATGAGGAGGGCTATCTTTGAGAAGGTAAAGGTTGTTTCTTATAGTTCCTTGCCTGAACAAAAAAATTAAAGAAAAAGGCAGTAGCGACAAGCAGAAACAAGAAGAAGATAATAATATATCGAGGCTATCCAAACAACCGGTAATGATACAAGTCTATAATTATAGGAGAACA